CAATATGCGTTTTTGCTGCCTGTTGCAGCGCTCTAGCGCTGCACGGCAAAAACGCATAAAAACTGCAAAAACGCATAAAAACTTGTCTCCAAATGCACACATATACAACCTTTTGAAAATATGCGCTTTTGTATTGCATAAATATGCAAAAAAATACAAAAAAGATAAAACGTGGAAAGTGGAGTACTCTTTTTTTCGCAAAATGGTCAAGGAAAGCTGTGCTAGAGTCGGAAACTACAACTGCCCTAAAACTGCAAACAAGGTCCCTGAAAGTGATACGCAGTCATAAAGCTAGGCTAATTATGTTAATGCGGCTAAGATCCTCTTGATGTGACTTTGCAAATCGGAGTTATTTTTATTCTGTTGCAATTAAATTTTACGCGCCGAAAAAAGCGCTTTGGTTGCGGATTTCTAGTTTGACTCGGTCCTGAGCTACAAAATCTGACTCTATTTGCACGCGAGAACAAAAACCCGAAAAAATGAAAGTTTAGTTTGAGTCAACTCCTAGCTGCCTTAAATTTCAGGTCTGTAATTCGTCTTGCTCTGTAGTCATAATTAATTTCAGTTTGTGGTCGAGTTATTAAAATAGGATAGAATAACGTTTAATTGCAACTCAGACTACTCAACAGCACCAACTGATGAAATAAAGCCTTAAAATTCCCGACTTTTTGGATCACGAAGTCCCAAATTCCGCTTTAGGATCGAAAAAGGATCAAAAAATTGAATCAGGTCCTTGCTCACTAGACAGCCAGGCTATAGTCCCAAAAATTCAGCTTAGCTCCTAAAGTGCAAAAATGTAGACTGACAAGACGCGGTCTGTGTTTATGCTCATTCCCTTGCTGCGATTTTTCAATTCATGCAAAAGTCTGCAAAAAATGAATCTGAGAAAGCGCACAGTAGGACTGCTTTTGTGTCATGCGCAGTGGCTTTGCTGAAAAATGAAGACCATATTAGATCACGAATCGGAATGTCATGAAGAAAGCGCAGTTAGTTCGCACAGTTTTGTTTGAACTGCATGCAGATACATTTGCTCATGCAAACAAACAGTGGTTTTGTGAAATAGGCTCCCAAAATGAAAAGCGGTAAAGCTCGTCGCGATGATCGCTTTAAATAGAGCTTATTAAAGTGAGAAGTTACAAGCTTCTGAGAACTGCTGCTATGCAATTCGGTTGCTGATGCAATGATAAGCAAAACATTACAGCTGGAAAGAGTTTAAGCAAATTTGTTCTAGCGAAAGAGTAATAACAGGTATCTGGAAAACTTTTTCCCGGCCTGCTTGCTCTTCCACTTTTGAAAACTTCACGAGGATAATGATCGATCGCCTCACCAAGCTTATCAATTAACCGCAACTGAAGGAGGCTGCGTAGTTCAAGCGCAGCAGATAGTATTTTTGCCCGAATTGGGCTGCTTGAGTATCATGTATTTTGCATTCTTTTCATCGACGCAGAGAACGCACTTAATAGCATCGTGCTAAGCGGTAACATACGAGGAAGTTATATAAAAAAGCTGCCAACTAATTCAGACCCCAACATATTGTCATATTCTCAAACACCGCATCGGTACCACCATGACAATCTTTTTAACACTGTGAAAGTTTGAAAGAAATGATATGCGGATGCAAAGCAGTGTCAGTGAAAGAGGCGAAGAAAAAGTGATTTGAAATAAGATAGATGAAGCGCTGGAGCGGCTGATAGCTTGGCGAATTTTTTCGCAATCACCCAGAAGAGAAACGAACGATAAAATTATCATATTCAGATATCAAGGGTAGCGATGAGTGGAATTGCGCACCATTAAGGTTAGCACAAGACTATCCTGACACCTCTGACGAGAGAGTGCGCTTACGTAAGGACTGTGACGGGTATCCGAGTAACTTTGGATATGTGTCACTGGTAATGGTTAGACCACAGACATGGTGAGGGACTAATTCCATCCTTTTAGCCGCGGATTTCACAGTGTAATAATCTACAAAAATATTGCCTAGTTTTTCGGCTCCTGAAGTCACAACAAAAGTTAATTGCGCACATTCTTCTCTCCCGCAAAAAGCCGGAACAGAAATTTATTACAGCATTCCTTTTTCCACCTCCCGCTGCATTCTTGGTTGTGGTGCTGATCGAATTTTAGCAATAGTTGGTCAGAATTGCACAGAATTAGTTACTTATTTCAAAATCACGGCAGTAAGGGAAAATCCATCAAGGAACCCAACAAAGAGGCAGCATCCGGAAAAATTACTCGCTCTTGCTCTTTCTTAACCACTCAGCAGTTTGTATATTGGTACCGGATGCGCATACATTGTTGCAGACCATGGCATCCACTACTATGACATTAATCGCTTTAAACGAAACAGCAAGTGGGCCAAGCCCACTGGCTATTCCTTGGGGACTGGACACCCTTCATGGCTGTCAACCTGTTTTACTGCTTTACTTCACAGCTTTATTGGCCACGACAGCATATTGAATTTTTTGCGTTGCGCCTGTATGATCCCAAGCTGGGCCGTACGGAACATTGGATGCAGTAGGAAGATGAAATTCATAGGCTGGTGTGCAATTTCTGAACATGATCAGCTAGAATTTCATGATTTTCGGTAATAAAATCTGTTGCGACAAGTTTCTGCTCATCAGGCTGTATCAGAGAGCCGGCCTGCGCTGAAAGGCCGGGGCATTTCTGGATGCGAAATGATGTCGTACTGAACAGTGACGATTTCTGGGTAATTGAACGATTTAGCGTACTGCGTTGTCGCACATAATTCGAATACTGACAAGTGAACTTCCGGAGCCATAAACTTACAGTTGCAAAAAATTTCCTCCTGAAAAAACATTTGAGAAAATACATAGTAACTTCATGGGAATAACTGTTTACCGTGGTGGGCTCGTAGGCATAAAATGAGCGTTGATACATGCATTTATCGTACGTTCGTATGCATTAAAGATATATGCAACAAAAACATTAAGCTCAGCGCTTGTTTGGAAGACTGCAATATATCGCTGTGACCTAATATGCATGCCCTGCCAATTGTAAATCTACAGTATATCTATGAACAATTTCAGGACATCATTAATTGTTTTGGAGAAGAAAACAGGAATTTATCCTCCCTGGAAATAAAGTATTTGCCTGCCCCTATTAACTCTTTTGGCTGCAGAACGGTTAGCCAAACTGATGTTGACCTTTTTTACAAAGCTGCATTTGCACCAGTTATTCGTTTGCACATTGCGGCTGAAATACGAATAGTTAATTTGCGTGTATGCCCTACGTTTGTGGTGTAGACGTAGCAGTTGCGTGGATAATTCACTTTGGCCGGCAATGCAGTTCACGAGAGTTCGAGGCTAGGACATATCACGGATTAATTACTTAGTAAAAGCCAACTATGCTTACCTGAAAGTAACGCTTGTTAAGCAGAATAAAACAACGTTCAGCATTTTGCCGGTTAGAACAAGGAAATTGCTGATGCACGACAGAGTTGCAAACGTTTCTGTCTTCGCGTCACTGATAAGTTTCTCGTAAAGAAAAACCATTGCAGAGGGTAACTGCGTTATGGTGAAACAAGATACTATTGTCACGACAGTTATCGTCATTCTCCGCTCCTGCTCATGGAAATTTGAGGATGCCGCACCCAGCGAATCCTCGTTCGCTGCCTACAAATTCTTTGATAATTCGGAAAAGTAACAGCATCCACTTGCTGCTGTACTCTGCAGCATTGCTTGGAACAATTTCAGTGTTTTTTATGCGTTTTTGCATATAAGCTAATTGCAAAAACGCATATTGCGAAGAGGCTGTCTGTGCGTGTGTCTGTGTGTCCGCACCTTTTGTCGCCCACTTTCAACTCGAGAACCAGAAAAGCTAGAAAGCTGAAACTTTGGGAGTGTGTGCCCACACCATGCGCGACCCTCCCGTTTTAATTTCATCCCTCGCGGGCGCCTGGGTGTCGCGTACGGACGCTTTGGAAAAATATACAAATTTTTTGGCGGGAAAGCGATCTCGGAAAGCACATGAGCTAAGGGGCTGGAACTTTGTAGGGATATTCCCTGTGCATGTACTAGCTAAAGATTTCAAATTCAATCCCCAGGTATGCGTGGTACTCACGTAAGAGCGTATGAATTTTTTTACGGGAAAATTACTAACTCGGCAACCAGAAGAGCTGGAGGACTGAAATTTTAGGTGCATGTTCCCTATCCACATGCAATTTAAAAATTTCAAATTCAGCTTTCCGGGCACGTGGAGTATTCAAGTACAGGCACGTGAAGGTTTTGGCGGGAAAATTGCTAACTCGTTAATCAGAAATGCTGGAAGGCTGAAATTTTGAGGGAATATTCCCTGTCCAAGTAAAACTTAAGCATTTCAAATTCAGCCTTGAGGGATGCGTGGTTCTTATGTACGGGCACTTAAAAGTCCTGTCGAAAAAATTTTTCACTGAACAACTATGTTATTTTTTAAAAACAACTGTTAAATGGAAATTATACATTTGCTTTGCAAAATTTATGGTGATTTATGCCACCCACCGCAAAAAGTAGGTGTAAATCAATAGCCATTCATACAGTTAATGACCTAAGTCATTCAAGTCCGGTGCAAAAACACATGATCGCACGGGCCCTCCCGGTGCGTTCCAGCCTGGGTTAGTGAACTGGAAATATGCATTTTTTCAAAAAATCTGCACTTGTTATTTTTTCACAAAGCGAGCATCTACCGAAAAAACGACCGGATTTCACGCAAAAAGCCGGTAATCATGCACCTGGATGTCCGTGCGGCTCTATAATGCACCATCTTGATCCCAACTGACGCCCTTTCTCCTGCATGTCGGAAGGGGCCATAGCACGGCCAATATGAGCCCAAGTGTTAGGCTACAGCGTAGGGATCATTCTTGCTAATAGCGATCT